CGGGGCTGTGGGGGAGCGGGCCTGCGGGCAGGGTGGCTGCAGAGCAAGAGCTGGGGGGCCACTTGCCAGGGGACGGGGCCTGCGCTGGGTATCGTGCCCCTTGCCTGTTCTTCCCTGGGTTTTACTGCTAGCCACTGGGAAAACTGGCAACTGGGCAGGCAGTGCAGTGGGCCGTGAGCCATAGCTGCAGGCATTGGCAACGCAGGTGCACATGCACCCCCTGAGACTGGCAGCGCACCCCCTGCGGTCGTGGGCCGACACCTCGCACCCCTCGCCATCCACACCGCGGGTGGCGTCTGTGAGAGGTCCTCGATCGCGGGTCAGCTCTCGCCACCTTCCCCACCGCTGACACCACCATGACCACCTGTGAGACTATTGTTGAACCAGGTAAAAGTCCATAGGGGTCTTTGGGCCACCCCCGTCGGGTGGCCGATGGTGGTACCGGCGTCCGGCTGGTGACAGGACAGGGGTTTTCACTGGAACACTGGTGAGACAAAAAAATTCTTCGGGGGCCGCCACTACGAAAATCGGGCGGCTGGGCTCCCGAACATTAATCAAACATTACGGGGGACAACTCATAAGAAAACAGGGTGTGCGTGCGGGGTCAAAGGTTCAAAACACCTGTGAGAGCGCTCCACTGCCAACACCAGTAGGCAGTCGCTGTGCCCCCCCCAGCCCTCGGGGGCACGCGTTGTTCAAGGCTGCAGGTCCTTTCTGCAGCCCCCTGAAACCACTGTGGTCAGTCTGGGCTGCTTCGTGGCCCCCTCATGTTTGTACATTTGCTGAGATCCCCCCGTTCAACGCTGTATGGGGGCTAAATATCCGCTTCTCCAGGAGCACCCAAGAGTGTCAGGGAGACGTGCTTTTCATAGTAAGTGTACATACAGGCAACCCCCATTTAACGCTGTTTCACTTAATGCTATTTCACTATAATGCTCATTTTAAATTGATACCCGATTTCACTTAGCGCTCTGCAAGTTTCGTCATAATGCTCGTGGTCACCATCTTAGGTCATTCAAAACAATTGTGGTCTCCGTCTTGGGTAGCCAAATACTTAAACACTCATTTCATTTGACGCTCAGTTTTTCAGGAACCAAGTAAGAGCGCTAAGCGAGGGTTGTCTGTACTGCGCATTTGACACGCTCACCTCAGAATCCTTTTTATGGGATTTGTCAGGCCCGTAGTGCTGCTTTCAGGACCTCGGACCTTTTGAAGGAACTGGGGTGACAGGATCCAAACCCACACTGGTGAACAGAAGCATCCACACAATAGAGACTAGAATAAAGTCTCTTTTGTTATTTTACTCTTAATCATTTGATGTCAATATTTTATACAGAGAAGGTGGTGTGGGAAGGAAGGGGTCAGCAATGAGGAATATGCATTATTTCATTTTCCTACAATATGAGGTGTGTGCCACTATAATTATTTTCTATAATAAATTATTTCCTATAATATAGGAAACTTACATTAACATGACCTGGTGTTGGTCAGGTTAGAGCACAGGAAGTTGTATCAGTGCCACACACCTTATAACACCACTGCTTAGAGGTGGTAATTATGGTATAATCAGTTTTGCTGAGACTCAGGCTAGGTTAAAAAAAGTCCAAGGTGGAATTGGTCTAAATCACGCAGTTTTCTGTAAGCAGCGTAGTTTAGATTGGTAGCAAACAGAACATGTTTGCCCTTTGGTGGGATTGGCAAATCATAGATCTGGTTCTGCCATTTTTAATCCATCTATATGTGCCGAATTTCTGTTCTGTTACAGGTATAGACCCGTTTCTCATGACTTATGCTGTTAAAGTGTAATGTCTGTACCTGTCCCTAGTGTTTGGCTCAAGTAACCTCTGCACAGGAAACTGTTTTGCTCTGTGAGAAATCATGTAAATCTCATCCACCCTTTAAAATAGTCCTCTTATTTTATTTTCTTAATTAAATTGTATTACATGTATTTAGTACCTTGCACATAGAAACAATAATATGATTACACAGTACAGCAGTAGAAGAAAGGAGATATTTAAAAGGTGCATATTTAACAATATAGTAGTAAGGTTTTAATACAATTGAGCAAAATTAAAAATTTGACTGTACACAGATTATTGGCTTTTCATTTCACCTCTATTGCAGTGCCTGCCTAGATGCATTATCTTGTATTACTGCTTTTGTTTGTCACTAGTTTTTTCCTCTGTGCTTTTTCAGTTGAACTTAAAATTATTATTCCTTTTTGTTCCAAGTTAAACTCCAATGCAAAAAAAAAAATGTAAGAAAAATCAAACCACAACAGAGTCCTCCTCCAACTCATTCAATGGAAAAACTCCCATTGACTTCAATGGTGCAAACAGCAACTGAAAAATATATTTTTCCATTAGGAAGTTTGTAGATACTACAGTAAAGAGATGTTTTGCAATTAGTTAGGGCTAGAAATCAAAGTTTGTACTGTATAAAATTCCCCGACTTCAGTTCAGGTTCTACTTACAGGATTATTCCAATTAATCTTTACATACGAGAGAGAGAGAGAGAGAGAGAGAGAGAGAGAGAGAGTGTGTGTGTGTGTGTCAGAATTTATTAAGATCAAACCCTTTGCTTCTCTACCTTACCTTCCATATGTGTCAAATGTGATTCATACTGCTCAGCTGTAACGTACCTTTTAGTCCGTTTTTTTTATTCCGTTATAAATCTGTTTTCTCCAACTGTCATTTTCATCTTTGTATCATTTTACCCACAGAGATGAGTGCCTCTTTAATATCCACTTTATATTCAAAATTAATTATTCTGCAAATAGAACAGGATCAGGTTTCTCTTCTGGAGCCCTGGTGAGTATTATATTTTGGACCCTGATTTGCCAGGTGCACTGTTTCCCTTTACATTGTATTGTTGTTTTAAATCAACTTTCTAAAGGCTGCGTGTTCTTTATACTTTCCTCTATCAAGTTATGTCTCATTTTTCTCACATTTTCATGTTTAATTAATTTTGGATTCAGACATATTATATGTTATGCTCTTAGAATTTCAGAACCTGCTATTCAGTGTAAAAAAATATCTTTTATTGAATTGCCTTAATCTTTAGTGTCACGGTGAGGTCCTTTAGGAGGGCCGCGATCTGCTAAAGGCCCTCTCTCCGTGCCAATTCGGCCTAAGGGCCCCCTCGATTCTCGCCCGCCACGTCTTTGCTGTTGAATAAGGTTGGGAGGCTGCCTTACGACTCCCTAGGCACGGATAGCCGGGACCTCTGTCCCCATATGTTCGCGGACCCCCTGGGGGTCTCCCGGTATAATGGGTGCTCCTCAGGCACCCTAGCCTTATGGGCTACGTTTGGCTCCTACCACCCCTAATACCACGCCCCAAGCCTCGCTGATGTACTAGACGTTGGACTGTCACCATAAACATATGCCCACCCTCTCTCTCTCAGGCCTTCTCTAACGTGTCGCCCCTCTCGGGCCTCACCGGTCCTTTGAGCCCACCACACTACTGCCCTCTCTGGTACAGGCTCACCGCGCTGCTATCCCCTTTTCGGGGGACAACCGGAGCACCTTGCCCTTCTCCTGGGGCACTGTGCCACTAACCCCTTCCATCGGGGTCCACCGCGGCACCCTGCCCCTGTCCTGGGTTTCCCTACGGCGCAGGCCTATTACCGGGTCCGCCACGCCCGTTCTGGGCTCCTTAAATATTGCCCCTCTCGGGCTCCTCAATATTGCCCCTCTCGGGCTCCTCAATAATCGCCCCGCCCTAGGGCTCAGTATGGCCCCTCTCGGGCTCCTCAATAAATCGCCCCTCCCTGGGGCTGGGGTCTATGCACCCCGTAAGTGATGCCCTTGCTGGCGTCTGCTGCGCCCGTCCTGGGCTTCCTACTATGGCGCTCCCCCTCTTGGGGGCTCGCCACGCCCACCTCGAGCTTCTCAATGCTGCCCCGCTCTGGGGCTGGGGTCTACGTACCCCACACACAACCCGGGGTCTATATTCCCCGCCCGCAACCCACTGGTTGCGCTCCACACTACAAGCTGCGCCTTCACCGGCGCTTCGCCTTCACCGGCACTGGGGCCCCCATACCACTGGGGTACCTATAAGAATAATGCGCCCTCACTGGCGCTAGGGCACCCCACCTTCTCTGGGGTCCCTATGAGGCCTCCTCCAACCCCTACAGCCTCACTCAAACCTCCGGTGTAATAGCAACAACGCAAACGCAAAACACAAGCCTCTAGGCTATAATATAACTATAAGCGGCCTGGCTATAACCCAATATCATCACTCCAGCCTCTGGAGCTCTCGCGAGCTATACTTGCTGTTAGGCTTGTCCTCCCATCCTAACTACAGGAGCTCCTGCCCCTCTGGCTGCTGGCAGGGAACTGCCAGCCTGGCCTCATCCCTGGGCTTTATGAGGGCCAGGCCCTGCCCCTTCTGGCCAGCTGATTCTTATTAGTTGCCCCGGCAACTCACAGCTGTGCTCACTATGTTCTGCCAGGGCTCTCTCCCTGGCAGTTTCTCCTCTGGCAGCTTTCCCCTCTCTAGGAGCAGGAGCACCGAGGTGCCCTGCGACATTTAGGACAGCTAAAAATCTTCCAGGAACTTTGAAGTTGGCACAGTTAGTCCTATTAATTGTTGACAGACAGGTATTTGCTGGGTTTGAGGCAATCTAGTTTGTCTTATTTTCTTTTTTAGGTTTGGTTTAATTTTGTCTTTTTTGTTCATTTATCACTGCTATTTTGCTTAACAATTT